TTGGTGCTGATTGTCTGACAGTAATAAACGAGGGTTGGCTCCAACAATCACTGCTCTATAAACTGAGTCCACATCCAGAAATCCATAAACTACAACTTGTTGTGACTGAAGGAAATGTGTGTGATCACTGCTGCTGCCTGCAGATCAATTATGATCCATGAATTACAGGCCATGAAAAGACTTAGAAGTCATAGTCACAGAAGCTGGACCAGCACCTCACATCTTGAGTAGAAATATTACATTTACTTCAGTAAATATACTGAGTTACATTCCACCACGGTTGTTGAGATTGGTTGTTCATTGTTTTCTGGTCATCTTGCCTCACATTTGGGTTTGTGAGTTTTTTGGGTTTTTTAGATTTCTTTGAGGTTGTTTTGCTTTTTTTGTTGCTTGTTTTACATTTTCTGTGATCGTTGTGCTTCACAATTTGATCCTTTTTCCATCTTTTGATGGTTTTACGCCACAATTTTAGTCATTTCATGTCATTTGTTTGGTCTTATTTGGTCTTTGTTTTGCGTCCGATTTTTGTTGTTTTACATATTTTTTGGCCTCTTGTGTCACATGTTGGTCATGTCACATCACCTTGTGGTTGATTTGCATCACATTCTGATAGTCTTACATCTTAATTAGGTTGTTTGGTGTCACAATTTGGTTGATTTACTTTTTTCTTCATCAGTTTGCATGTTATTTTGAGACTGTTGTACTAAATGTCATGTTTGGGCTATTTCACATCTTTTGTTGTTGTTTTGTGTCATTTTGTGTCACAATTTGATCATTTAAAGTGTCTGTGGTTATTTTTCCTTCACATTTTGGTTGTTTTACATCCCAATGTGGTTGTTTGTGTCACGACGTAGTTCTTTTACTGTTTTGTCATAGATGTCCATCATTTTACAGCTTTTTTGGTTGTTTTGCACTGCATTTTGTTTTAAGTTTTGTTTTTGTTTTTTTTTTACATATGTTTTTGTCCTATTATGTCACATTTTGGTAATGTCACATCATCTTGTTGTTGTTTTTTTCATCACATTTTTGTTATTTTACGTGCTGTTTTTTTTGTGGTTATTTTTTGTTGTCACATTTTGGCCAGTTTTACACTGTTTTGATTGTGTTGATCATTTTATATTTTGTTTATCACATTGAGGTTGTTTTAAATCCTTTAGAGGCTGTTTTGTGTAGTTTGTTAAAAATCTAAAGCAGTCAGAAATCTCATCACAAGTGCCGTCAACAGTTATCACAACGACTGATATTTCTTTGTCAATTGACTAATTGATTATCGATTAATTGTTTCAGCTGGACTTGATGTATTTTCTTTCCAATAATCCACATTTGTAAAGTAATGAAAGCTGTTTAAGAACCTCAAACCTGTCCTCCAGGACAACACTTGAGTAAATGTACTTAGTTACATTCCACCACGGTTGCTTTATCTATGCAACGTGCTGCGACTGGCAGGATTGGCTCAAAGGTCAGTGGCAGCAGTGATTTCCTTCT